CTCTTCTTGTCCGTCAACCCCATCTCGCTCAGTCAAACCTCTATGTAGCTCTCTCTATCATTGAAGGAGTCAGGTTATCAAATGTACGATATAGTTATCAGGAAGTTATTCTAATACTCTAGTAACATAATATAATAACTAATATATTAACAACACTGTTGCTTGAAGGGTCCAATTAGAAGCTCCTACTTATTTTAGTCTGCCAAGCAATCTATGTGTGCTGCAATCTTCAAGCAAGATGGTTGTGCAATTTTTTGTTCAGTCTTATATAAAGAAGGCGCACATCCTCAAATCCGGTGAATACCGAAAGATGGATAAACTCTCATCCTTTCACGATGAGCATGATGAGCCAATCAAGAAGACAAAAAGGAAATGAACAAAACAATTGCAACTGAAGAAATCAAGATGCTCCCTGCAAATAACATATCTCAAGAACCTAATAAAAATGAAACTGCGGTCCATAGGGCAGGTTGTTCTTTCCAAGTGAAGCTTTCCAACACTCTCAGATAATTCATGAAGCCAGGACACTATTTTTACAAATTAGATAAGCATCTATTAAACAGAACGAAGCAGGCCAAAGCAAAACATTAATACGAAAATCTCAAACGACCATATCCATCACTTTTCCCAGAGAAATAATGGGAAGATGGATGATTGGAGTTGGTGAAGCTCACCTTGGCGGGGATAAATGTGATACGAACCTATGTATTCACGGAGAGCTGACCAATAGGGTTAGGTTGTGTCATTAGCCATGCTTGTCGCTGTTCAACGTGCGCTGCTTGTCAAGCCGATTCCATGGTGCAACGGAGGAGCCACAAGATCCAACCGTATGTACTTGGCAAGAACGCTAAAAAGACAAAAAGACAACACATTCAGCCATGGGGAAAGTGGCAGCAACAAGGACGTGTACACAAGGATACTGCAGATTCCTCTTACCTTCCCATGGCTGAATCCTTTGTCTCGCCACTGAGGGCTGCAGGTACGAGCATGCTTGAGTGATTTCTTGTAGTAACCAGGATACATATTCCACCAAATCACCCTTTATGGTTTGCCTATTGTTTTGATATGTTCTACATCATGATCAAACAATTAACAATGCCTAATAAGCAGAATGCAATCCTAAGAATATGCCTTAAAAAATTAGACCAGGTACAAAAAACTACAAATAGCACATGCACAATCTTTTTATGTATATTAGAAAAATGTTCATGTCATATATCTGCATGGTGAAATATTAAGCAATTGTTAACTCAAAATTAGCATCGTAAAGTATATGCAGTTATGGGGAGGTGTTGAATACCTTAGATGCATTGAGAATTACATCAATCAAACTTTTGGCACAGAAATCTAGTGGTTGGAGGTGCATTCAGCCATGCTTCTCATCAAGATCTGATCACTTGAATCCGAAGCAAGATGAGCACTTTGTATAGTTAATCAAAAAGCTGAATACGCGAAATGTATCGAGAATTAATTGGTGTACTGCATAAATCAAACTTTTGACCCAAAAAATAAAACCATATAACTTTGTATTAATCTTCAGTTTCTAAAAAATGAACACACTCCATGTATGCATTACTCTACCAAGGATGCACATACAATCTGCATTTCAGCAGCATCTTGGGAACTAAAAAGTGACGAATTGGAGATGTATGAAACAAAAATATGGCAAATACCACGGGAAACAATTGATATATTCCTCACATCTCTGATCAAGCCATTGTAGCCAAACATGCAGGTTGGAAACACAGAAAATAGATCTTGCATGTTTGTCAACAAACGCCTATCAAAATTCCAAGATCATATATATGACATATCTACCAGACCCTGAATCAAAGTAAATTTCCTTCCTTATTACATTAGCTATTATCCAATGGTGCAGTGGACAGTTATGAACCACAAGCACATTGCATACCAAACAAGTAAGCCAAACCGTGGACAATAAGCGCATAAATCCATTTTTACATAATAAACGTTACATCTTATCATTTTCTATTTGCAAACAAATATGTTGTTATTAGTTAGTCAGTTTGTACTTGTCTAAAAATTAACGAAACATGTTAATATGCAGCAGAAAATGATATTTTTTAACAAGGCCTCCTGGAAACGTGTGCTATATAACCTTTGTGTCTGCGTGGAGCATACCTCAGTTCAGTCCTACAGCCCTTTGATGTAGTCTACAACAATATCCAGCATGTCTGAAGTATTTGTTTGTTGCGTCTTCAAGAAGAAACTTAACATGTTTCCAGCAATTGTATTGAACGACTTCTCCGAGAGAATAGCTGCGCAAATGCTATTATGAAATCTGAAGTAACTAAGGTCCGAGTCATCGACAACTACCAAGGTTCTGAATTTCCATGGGCAACACTTCCAGATTGGATTAGAATCATCAGTTTTAGTACGTTATAATTTAGTTTTGTATCGCTGAATATGCAGGCATGTAGTCGTCAGTTTTGGTACTTTAGAGGGTACAAGCTTCTGTAACTCATGGTGAAAAATTCATCTCTATATGTTGACAGAATTGATAGTGTGCATCAATTCAACTGATTTAGTTACCTTGTCCATGTTGGGCACAAGGTCTTGCAGCCTCCTTAGCCTCTTGCTAATGCTTGTTCTTCTTTGCTAAACAGCACAAGCAAGAAAAATATCAGTACAGATATGTGGAAGCAAGATGAACACCAAAAATGTTGCAGGAAACTAACCCTCTTAGTGATGCTTCACGGGTGAGTGGCGCAGACACGCTTGTCTCAAGACTATGCAGGCGACGAAGTCCTGCTGCGGCTGCAAGTAGCCGTCCATGCCGGGCATGTCCAAAGACGTGCTCGACAGGCCAAACTGAATTTGGGCCAAGGTGTTAGTATAAGTGCAACATTAAACAATTGACGGGCAGCAGAGTCCGGATGGATGTGAAGTGTATATATGTGAGGTATGTCCTACTTGGGATTTGATTTTGCTGAAGTTGGTGACCATGCCGTTGTCACCATTGATGAGCACCTTGGCCTTCTTGCTTCCAGGCACGAAGAACATGATGTTGGAGTTGGTGTCGTCCCAGGAGCTCATGGAGAGCTCGTTGGAGCCGTTGTCGGTGGTGATACTCTCACTGACATCGGCCGGCGGCATCGGGGCGGGCATGGCCATCCCCATCTACGTGCGGCATCATGTCCTGCTGCCTCGAAAAGCTCCATAGCTGCATATTAATCGAGAGATTTCCACCTCAGTGAAATCTGAACTTCTCTAGAAATAACATAAAGCATTGTACTTCATAGTCACATAGGCCATACCAGGAAAGAAAATGAGTAGTACCTGACTTTGTTGAATTGGAAGAAACCTTGTTAAAGTATCGATTCCCTTTAACCAGTAGTCTCTCTTCACAGATTAGAAGAGACTAAATACTAAATCCCCTTGACATGTGACGTCTCGCGCTCGACCTCTTAACCTCTTACTGCCAATAAAATTTATCCTCTGAATCCCCATCCCACCGTAGACAAGCTGCACACACAGACACGAAAAAACTAAAATCTCCCTTGACATGTGACGTCTCACGCTTGACCTCTTAACTTCTTACTGCCAATAAAATTTATCCTCTGAATCCCCATCCCACCGTAGACAAGCTGCACACACACACACACACACAAAAACTAAAATCTCTTTATCCTCTGAATCATGGAAAAATCAAAGAACAGAGGTTGGGCTAAAAGGCAAGAAAGTGAACAACAAAATAAATGAGGAAAAAGAGTAACATACATTAAACCAAGCCCTCCACGGCAGCAACACCGGTGCAAGAACGACATCAAACTCAACAGGCGACGAGCTCACAACAATGGAGATCACAACTACATGCCGAAGAGGACGCAGATCCGCCACTCCTCTTCGCCTACCCCATCCATCGGCCTAGAAGAAAAAAACACCTTCTCTGGTCGATGACGCCAAAGATGAGGCGAATCCGCCAATCCTCTGCGTTGGACTGATGAGGAGGAAGATCCGGCAGATCAGGGCACCGTCATGGAAGGTGTGGCCTGCCTCCCGAGATGGTGCCTTCTCGTCCATTTAGCATGGTAGGTGCGGAGGTAGGGAGATGGAGGTGGGGGAGATGAAGCCGGTGAGAGGGAGGAGGGAAGCGGAGGCTGTGGCGGAAGCACAAAGAAGAGGAGACGAGGGAGAGAACGAGCGCGCGGGAGGCGGCGAAGCTCCTAGGGCGGAGGCAGGGGCGACGAGGAGGGAGGGAGTGGCGGCGGCAGACGAGGGAGGGAGGAGGAGGAGGAGGGAGGGAGTGGCGCTGTGGATTGGGGGTAGGGTTTTTGCGGTTGTGCTGCGACATGATGCGTGCGCTCGCACGCGGCGCGGCAGGAGAGGCTGTCCCGCGCGCACCCAAAAAGCTGGCACCCAGCCAATTCGATCCAGCCCGAGCCCACATGTCATACCTGTCCAGGTTTCACCACGCGGTTAAAACAAGACAGATAAATTCCCAACGAGGATCCAACGGGCAGCAGCGAAAAAAAGACCATGTTGGCCATGATCGAACAGACATCAAAGGAAGCGATCGAGGGAGCCCTCTCCATGCGAGTTGGCTAGCCTTTGTATTGTTTTAAGGGTCATTTGCATTTCTGTCCCTAACTCGAACCACCTAATCAGATATACCCCTAATTCGAAAGTCTGCTCAAAAATGCCCCTCTGCCGTCATGTGCCCTTATAGAAATGCCCCTCCGAGCCGTTTCCGTCCAGTCAAGGCTGTTTGACCGCTAACGTGTCATTTATTTGACATTTTTGCCCCTCCTTCCTTACATCTGGGTCCAACTAACCGGTTCACTCTCTCTCCCCTCTTTCTTCTTCCTCGCGACGACAGGGGCATTTTTGAGCAAGAACTGGATCGGGCGTTTCCGCCGCGGTCGAAGAGAGAGGGGCAGGGGCACGGCGTGGTGAGCGATGGGTACGTCGGGCACGGCGGGCATGTCTTCTACGACCTCGTCGGTGGCCGCCAATGTAAGTTTCAGGGTCGATTTGGGTGATATTGCGGAATTAGGGTTCACCAATTTGGGTTGCCCTTTGCTGATAGGTTGATGGCGTCGGGATAGTTCAGTTTCAATCGGAGTTCTACATCCCCGATCTGACATTCTGTGGCCTTGAGGTTCGGTCGTCGCGGCGGTGCCCTGGCCACGGGCTTATTCCTGCTCGTCGTGTCGCCTGGGGAGGAGCAAGCTCCGGCAGAAGGTTTCTCGGTTGCCCTCTTGATGTAAGTGTTTTTGCTTTTGAATGCTTGACTTGATTCTGCTCTTTCTCCTCTTTCTAATTCGATCATTGATTTTGCAGCTTCCTGATGAATGTGATTGGGTTGTCTGGATTGACCCGCCATCAACCGAATGTGTTGATCGTGCATTTGAGGAGCTTCATGCAGGATTGGAGAAGAGCTGGCTAAAAGCTCATTATTTAGAGAGGAGGGTGATGTATCTAACCGAGAAGAACATGAAACTGGAGCTAAAGATGAAGAAGAGGAACGAGGTTATGCAAGCCTGGGGATTTATCATAGTTCTTGGTTTTAGCATGTTGGCCACATTTGTTTCTGGGTGGTCTAATTATCCATAGTAAATGGATTTCTGTTTGTAGTGTATGCTTTGATGGAGCATAGTCTAATTATCCCAGAATAATGTTGTGATGTAGGAACGATGTGATATTTCTATTTGAAAATGACTGAAGAATCTTGCTTGGCATTTTGAAAGTAGCTGCTCAAATGAAACTAGCAGCTGACCAAATGATCTGTTGTGTTAAAACTAGCAGCTCACAAAATATTTAAAAGTAGCAGCTCAGAAGATAGCATCTCACAAATAGCATAACTTCATAATAGCATTGCATATTCAAGATAGCATCTCACAAGTTCAGCATTACATAAGTTCATAATTTCAGCAGCACACTTAAGATAACAGCTAACAAGTTCACAAATAGTTCTTAAACAACAAAAACAACACACTTAACATAGCAGCTAACAAGTTCACAGATCTTTCATCTTCTTGCTCCTGGTGTTGCAAGCAGGATTAGTTAAGAGCCTTGAACTCAACCTTGTGGTGACAGTTTTGCTCACTTCTTTGCTTAGCTGGTTGCTTCCAGTTACAGATCCTATTGTAGGATCTAGTGCATACTTGAGCCTCTTCTTGGCTGGTGACATCCCTCTGTTAGCTGCCTTTTTGTAGTTCTTTCTTGGGCTACAATTGAAATGAGAACATTAAATGAAGCAAAAAGGAAATTAGAACATTAAATGAAGCAAAAAAGGAAATTAGAACATTAAATGAAGCAAAAAAGGAAATTAGAACATTAAATGATGCAAAAATTGAAATGAGAACATCTGTAGCATTTTCACCTTACAGCTGATGACACTGTTGGTGCATCTGTAGCAAAGCCAGCATCAGGTTCAACCTCTTTAGCATTTTCAGGATCAGTTTCCACCTTTGTAGCATTTTCAGCATCAGTTTCCACCTCTGTAGCATTTTTAGCATCAGTTTTAGCATCTAGAGGTTCATCTGTTGCATTTTCAGCCCCCTAGTGCTCTTCTTCCCCAAAAGCTGGGTCAATGGATTCCTTGCAGTGAGTGGCACGATGCCCAAGCCTTCCACACCTGCCACATTTCTTTCTCCTTCCTCCAAGTCCTTTTCCCTTAGATTTTGCCCTAATTCTTGTCTTCCTAGGTCTACCAGGGGCCCTGTTTTGCAATGGAGCAGACAATTTAAACCCAGGGTCCACCACATCCCACTGTTGTTTGCCCTCCATTGCAGGCAAATTTTCAGCATAAGTAGCATTGAACCTAGCGACAGAAAAGTACTCATGTACATACTGATCAATCTCACTTACTGGGCCTCTCATTGAAGTAATAAAATACAAAGCATGTATGCAAGGCTGTCCAGTTAACTGCCACTTTCTACAACTGCAATTCCTACTTTCCAAATTTACTGGATATCTCCACTCTCTCTTTTCCTTGTCAACTGCTATAATCTCTGCCTCATATGTGCTTCTTTTCACTATCTCCATATCAAGCTCCTTAGATTTTGCATGAAGCATTTTCATGACTTTGGGGATTATGATGTGGCCAATGAATGTAGCAACTGCAATCTGCTGTCTGAGATCAAACTTTTCCATTATAAATTGTCTTATTTTGTCTAGCAAGTCCACAATGTGTACACCCTTCCATTTTCTAATCTTTGAATTGAAGGACTCAGCTAGATTGTTATTAACAAAATCTATTTTGCACACTTCATTGAACAGTGACCTTGCCCATAGCTTGGTGTGATGCTCCTCTAAGTACTCTTTCACACCAGCCTTACTGTGCAACTGCCTAAGATGGTAGTTGTGTTTCTTTATGATGTATGTCAATGAGCAGGGCCATAAATTTTCATCAAAGAATTTTCCTCTAAACTTTTTTGTGAAATTTGCAGCCAAATGCCTCATGCATTCTCTGTGCTCCACACCTAGGAACACAGCTTCCACTGCAGTCTCCAGGCCTTTGCATGCATCAGTGTGGATAACAAGACCTGGTGGATGTCCTATAAGCTCTCTTAAATTCTGGAAAAACCAAGTCCAACTCTCTATATTTTCACTCTCTACAACTCCATATGCAACTGGGAAGATCCAGTTGCAAGCATCCACAACACATGCACTAACTAGTTGCCCTCTAAATCTGCCATCTACTGCAAGATAAGGCCTACACCCATTCAAAAACCCTTGCCAGCATGCTTTGAAAGAAACAAATACTCTTCTAAAGCACTCCTTCTGTCTACTCTTCCCATTCAGTTTGTACTGTACAGTGTGTTTATCAATGCTAACTACACTGCCAGGAGATGCTTTCTCCACTTCTGCCTTGAAGGTATACAATAACTGAAAAGAGTCAACCCACTTACCATAGATATTGTCAAGTGCCATTTGCTTCCCATAGAATACTCTCATACATGGAACTGCCAGGCCATACTTCTTCTTCAAATTTTTCTGCAATTCTGTTGGTCCCACTTCTGAATCCTCTAAAATCCAGGTCTTCACAGCATCAGCAACCCATCTACTCTTAGCTGACCTCAGTCTCTTCCTCCTGTTCACACTGGGACATGTATGAGCTGTCTTGTTCACTTTAACCTGCATTCATGATAGTTCAGAAACATGTCAGAACCTAT